TCCTTCCGGTCGACAAGGTATAACATCCTCATTGACAGAAGGAATCCCTTCCGATCAATGAGGTAAAACAATCTCATTGACTGGAAGGGATTCCTTCCGTCCATGGGGATGTTATACCTTGTCGACCGGGAGGGGAATTCCTCCAATGGGGGAGTTTTATAAGATCTGCTGACCGAATGGAATCCCTTCCAGACAATGAGATTGTTATACCTATTCAACCAGAAGGAATCCCTTCCAGTAAATTATACCTCATTGACTGGAAGGAATCCCTTCCAGTCAATGAGATTTTTATACCTCATTGATTGGAAGGGATTCATTCCGTCAATGAGGATGTTATACCTCATCGACTGGAAGGAATCCCTTCCAATCGACGATGAGGTATAACTTCTTGTTGACTGGAAGGAAATCCTTCCGGTCATGGGAGCAAGCGACTCCCGAACCCCCTCAAGCATGAGGGGTGGTTTGGGGCGCCGACTCCCTAAAATTAAAAATTAAAAAATTAAAAAAGAAATTGGATGGCCGACTCCCAAAGTCGGCCATCGATTTAGAAGAACGACTCCTGTCCAACGACCCCTCAACCAAAATGGGAGTCGTCAGACAATTTTTGGGAGTCGTCTTTCCGACCCCCTACTTAATGGACCTCTCTCAGGAAATTAATAATCAAATTTCAAAGGATAATTATCTCTTGTGTTTATCCAAGTGATTATCATCCTGTTTATCTCTCTTCTGTATCTCTCTTGTGTATCTTCTGAAATAAGAGAGATATTCTACCTATGTAATTCTATTTTCTGAAAAACGAGAGATAGTCAACACATGTACAGTGGGTGGACCATCATTTTTGGCTGCTTGTTTTGGATCCCAGAGCTTCAAAGCATCAGATTGAATTCATGAGACTTGGTCAAGTGGTGCAGAATAGGTTGAAAAAAATGAATATGAAAAAAATAAAAATAAAAACCAAAGTTTCAAATTTTGTGGAAAATAAGAAATAAAATTGATTTTTTTCAAAAACTTTGATATTCATTTTGGGGAAGTGTGAGTGCAGAGAGAAAGAAAGAATGGGAAATGGGAAGAATGATTATAAATGAAAATTTTAGAAAAAGTGGTTACCAGATAGTTTAACCAGTTGTTGAGTGGGGCATTTACCAGCTCGCATTGCAGTAAAGCACTAGAATTTACTGTTTGACTCCAATCTGGACACCAACCTGGCTCACATTTTTGGTCCATTTTTTCATTTATAATCATATCATGGTCCACTCTTCTCTCTAGCACTCCACTCCCAAAATGAATAACAAGCTTTGGAAACAACAATT